TATTTTAAGGGGTTGTGGCATTGAAAAGGTTTAGAAACACTGCTAAAGACAGTCTATAAAAATAAATAAAATACTGTCCGTATATTTATGATTAACATAAATCAAAAACTACTGGGCGAATAGACACCAAATTTGGACAAAATACATATATCAGGCCAACAAGTGACCATCACTCATAAAAACACTGAAAAACCCAGCAGAAGAGACTTAAAAAGCAAAAAAAAATGCATTACAATGCATGCGCAAAACAACATATTTACACATATACACAAATATATATACACACATATATACATATATATATATATATACACACACAAAATACATATACACAGACTAGGCCACAGCAACGCATGGCAGGGGACAGCTAATAATAATAATAATAATAATAATAATAATAATAATAATAATACATAATTCGATCCAGTTCTTGGAAGTAAGCATTTTGTCTTGGCATCTGTACAGGACTACTTAGATCAGTGTTTCTCAGCCTTCCTAATGCTGCGATCCTTTAATACAGTTCCTCATGTTGTAGTAACCCCCAACCCAAATGTGAACACTGGTGGAGTTTGGGGAAAATAGACCTTGACATTAGGAAGTTGTGGTTGCTGGGACTTATAGTTCACCTGCAATCGAAGAGCATTCTGAACCTCACCAACGATAGAATTGGGCCAAACTTCCCACATAGAACCCCCATGCCATTAAGGGACTCGCTAATGCAAGCCTCCCTCCAGCCTTGCCCGCTCTCCTTTGTCCACACATGCGCACCACACTGCTATGTGCAGAGCTTGCTTGCTCTCCCCTCCCCAATTGGAGTCTCCCCTTGGCTGAGAGCCTGGCCATTCACAGTGTAGGAAGGCTTTTGGTGGGAGGATTCACCGTCTGTTTTCAAAAAGGAAGAGAAGGACAGGCGGAGAGATCTTCAGCCTTCTCTGCCAAAAAAAGTTCCTAAGACCATCAGAAATATGTTTTCTGATGGTGTTTAGCAACCCCTCTGAAACCCCCATCACAACCCCCCCCCAGGGGTCCCGATCCCCAGGTTGAGAAACACTGTCATAGAAGTATACAACTGAGAGGCTAGTAAAATCTTGGGAAAGGACCCAAGAAACATCTTCCCAACCCCTTTCTGCGATATTCTCCCAAAGATTCCCATCCAAACCTCTGTTTAAACACCTCCAAAGGAGGAGAATCCATCAGTCCAGCAGGTCTTATACTGGATATTTAGGTAGAATCCCTTTTTGGGTAATTTGGATCTAGGGAATCAGGTTACAATCTCTGGAGCAGCAGAAAACAAGGGCAACATCCATGCCTTTCAGGTACTGACAAGTGTCTAGTGTTTCCCCTCCATATTCTCATACAGTTGGGAACAGACCACCAAGGCCCATCCGGTCCAATCCCATTTTTCCAGGGAAGGAGACACAACTAAGATGGGCTGGGCTTTAGCCGGAAGGCTGACAGATTGAAACCCAGGTCAGGGTAAGCTTATGACCTTCAGCCTAGCTTCCTGCCCACCTAGCAGATCGAAAAGAGAAATGTGAGTAGATAAATAGGTTCCGCATTAAAGCGGAGATGTATCTAGGCATGGCAATTAGATTTGTGTGTGTGCATGCGCACGCGTCAGGAGCGACTTGAGAAACTGCAAGACGCTTCTGGTGTAAGAGAATTGGCCGTTCGCAAGGACGTTGCCCAGATGTTTTGATGTTTCACCATCCTTGTGGGAGGCTTCTCTCATTGTCATTGTGTCTCCTTCCCTGGAAAAATGGGGTTGGACTGAATGGGCCTTGGGGGCTTCTTCCCAACTGTATGAGAATATGGGGATCTGGAGCTGACAGAGGGAGCTCATCTGCGCTTTCCTCAGATTCAAACCTCCAACCTGTCAATCGTCAGTCCTGTTGGCCCAAGGGTTTAACTCATTGCACCTACGGCAATTAGATCAAAAAGGAGGAAGTTTACAAACCAAAAAAAACCTCTTTGGCAGGGAAGTTGGAGCAACATCACGCTCCTGTGGCCGGAACTGAGCACAGCCTCCAACATGCCGAAAGATAGGAAAGCCTATATATATACACCTCTATCTATGTCAGGGGTCCTCAAACTAAGGCCCGGGGGCCGGTCATTTACCCGGCCCTTGCTCAGGGTCAACCTAAGTCTGAAATGGATTGAAAGCACACAACAACAATAATCCTATCTCATCACCCAAAAATAGTCCCACACTTCCCATTGAAATACTAATAATTTTTTATTTGTTAAAATTGTTTTTCATTTTAATTATTGTATTGTTTTAAGTGGGTTTTGCACTACAAATAAGATATGTGCAGTGTGCATAGGAATTCATTCATTTTTTTTTCCAAATTATAATCCGGCCCTCCAACAGTTTGAGGGACTGTGACCTGGCCCTCTGTTTAAAAAGTTTGAGGACCCCTGGTCTATATTTTTTGTCTTGTCATTATATAAGCAGCATTTAATGTTTGACATATATGTGTTCTCTGATCCGCTCTGAGACCCCTTCTGCATGAGAAGGGCAAAATATAAATACTATAAATCGGTGTTTCTCAACCTGGAAGTTGGGACCCCTGGGGGGGGGGTTCACGAAGGGGTTTCAGAGGGGTCGCCAAAGACTATTAGAAACCATATATTTCTGATGGTCTTAAGAACCCCTTTGTCAGAGAAGAAGTCCTTCTCTTCCTTTTTGGAAACAGACGGCAAATCCTCCCACCAAATGCCCTCCCCCTGCTGTGAAAATACATCGTGCATATCCGATATTTACATGACAAATCATAACAGTAACAAAACTATAGTTCTGAAGTAGCATAATTTTATGGTTGGGGGTCACCACAACATGAGGAACAGTGTTAAGGAGTTGCGACATCATGAAGGTTGAGGAGCACTGCTATCTATGTAAATAAAAATGTAATGTTCATTTGTGGGATTAACAGAACTCAAAAACCCCTGGACGAATTGGCACCAAATTTGGCAGCAAAATACATACTAAACCAATCTATGTCTTTCAAACAAAAAAAATCTTTCAAAATGAAGGGGAAATAATTTGAACACACACCCCCCCTGCAAAATAAACCTAACAGAGCATGCGCAAAAGCCCCCCTCCCCAGCGAGCGAGAAGACTGACGCAATCGTTGTGAAGGAAGAGAAGCCTCGCCATGGAGTCCCTTTCCAAGCAGGAAGGCCGAGTCCTCTTTCTTTTGGGGAAGGGAGGGATTGGGGAAAGGATAGAGGGAAGGAAGGAGAGACAGAGGCCGTGAAGGCAGCCCCGGCAGCCACCGTGAAGGCTCCTTGAGGCCCAAGTGGCCCCCAGGCAACCCTCCCCCCAAAACCGGAGGATTGCAAGGCAAGCCTGGCTGCAGGAGCGGCTGCACACACCCCTCCCTCCCCTCCCCCAGGACCCCTTGGGTGAAGGGAGGATGTAAACCATGGGAAGACCAGCAACTCCCCCACTTGGGCTCCATATCCCCCCTTCCACCCTTTCGTCCTCTCCCCCCCACCCCCCTTTAAAACCCCTTACAAATTGCCATAGAAGGAAGGGAAAGGAGAATAAAGGAAGAAAAGGACTGGTGAAGAGAAGGATATGAATGGAAGAAAGGTAGAAGGAAAGAAAGAGGAAGGAAAGGAAAAGAGGCAGGGATGGGAGAGGAAAGGAAGGAAAGTGGGGAAGGAGGGAGGAAGAAAGGAATTGTTGTTGTTGTTGTTGTTGTTAAGGAGAATCTAAATGGCCATCTATCAGGAGTGTTTTGATGTGCTTTTCCCTTATGCCAGAAGGAGTTTGGACTGGATGGCCCTTGGAGGTCTCCCTACTCTAGGATTCTATTAATATTATTAATATTCTTATTCTTAGAGGTGTATTTGCGGGTTTTTTTTCAGTGATGGTAAGGAGAATCTAAGTGGCCATCTATCAGGAGTGTTTTGATGTGCTTTCCCCTTATGCCAGAAGCAGGTTGGACTGGATGGCCCTTGGAGGTCTCTCTACTCTAAGATTCTATTATTATTATTATTATTATTATTATTATTATTATTATTATTATTATTAAGCAGAGTCTCTATGGCCATCTGTTAGGAGTGCTTGGATTGTGTTTTTCCCTTATGGCAGAGGGAGGTTGGACTGGATGGCCCTTAGAGGTCTCTTCCAACACTATTACTGTGAATTCCTCCCAAACCTCTCCAGTATTTTCTGCTGGTCATGAAGGTTCTGTGTGCCAAGTTTGGTTCAGATCTGTCATTCATGGGGGTCTTAGAGGTTTGTGGAAGTCTGAGCTGAATCAGTTGAAGGTACTCCAAATCTCATCATCCATTGTCCATACTCCCCAAACTTATTGTTTTTGTGATTAATCAGTATGCTTTAATTATGTTCAGTTTATAACAACAGAAATACAATGTATTGTCGAAGGCTTTCAGCATAAATACATCTTGCATATCAGATATTTACATGATGATTCAGAACAGTTATGAAGTAGCAACGAAAATAGTATTATGGTTGGGGGTCACCACAACATGAGGAACTGCATTAAGGGGTTGTGGCATTGAAAAAGTTTAGAAACACTGCTAAAGACAGTCTATAAAAATAAATAAAACACTGTCAGTGTATTTATGATTAACATAAATCAAAAATGACTGGGCGAATAGACACCAAATTTGGACAAAATGCATATATCAGGCCAACAAGTGACCATCACTCATAAAAACACTGAAAAGCCCAGCAGAAGAGACTTGAAAAACCAAAAAATAAAGAATACATTACAATGCATGTGCAAAACAACATATTTACACATATACACAAATATAGACACACACACATATATACATATATTTATATACATATACATATATATATACACACACACACAACATACATATACACAGACTAGGCCACAGCAACGCGTGGCAGGGGACAGCTAGTAAATAAATAAATATACAGTATAAGGCACTCCTCACCGATGGCCATTCGATCTTGATTGTTTGCAGCTGTTGTGAGCCTTCTACTTGTCTTGCAGGAAACTCTGCCCTACACCAAATTTGGCCTGTCCCCCGGAAAACACTGCTCCTAGTCCTCCCCGCGACGTTGACGTCTCCTCCTCCCCTCCTCAGGTAAGGCCCCTTTGGACACTTCCATGGATCCCATTTCGGTCCTGGACAGCTGTCAGAACCGACTGGCGTGCTCTCCAACAGTCCACAATGATACACAGTAGGTAGTTCAAACAGGAAGATAGTCAAGAGTCCATTTCAAAGGGTCAGTGACAGAGAACCTCAAGAATGTCCAAGTATAGTCCAAGTCAAGATCCAAACACATAGTCAAAAGTCCAAACACAAAGTCCACCAACAAAGATAGCGCTATCTAAAACGTTGCTCTCAGCAAAGAGCTATTGTAACCACCAGCTATTTATGTTGCCCAGTAAAGCCCCTGGTGGCGCAGTGTGTTAAAGCGCTGAGCTGCTGAACTTGCTGACCGAAAAGTTGGCAGTTCAAATCCAGAGAGCAGGGTGAGCTCCCATTTTTAGGGCCAGCTTCTGCCAATCTAGCAGTTTGCAAATGTGAGTAGATCAGTAGGTACCATCTTGGTGGGAAGATAACGGCGCTCCATGCAGTCATGCTGGCCACATGACCTTGGAGGTGTCTATGGACAACGCTGGCTCTTTGGCTTAGAAATGGAGATGAGCACCAACCCCCAGAGTTGGACACAAAACTTAATGGCAAGGGAAACCTTTACCTTTACTAATAAAGCCCTTACAGCTGAGAGGCGCTTTTCTGAGCCAGCCAATTGGATTTGCTCACCTGGGTGGCATCTACCCATAGCTGAAGGCGAGGGAATCAGCTCTGCTTTTCGCCCTGAAGAACCTCATCCCGCTCTATCCAAGCCTTGAGGCTCCTGCTCCTGAAAGTATGAGTCTGCTCAGGTGGCTCTTGTACATTTGCCCCTGATTCGACTGCTAGGAGGAGTCCTTCTTCCTCATCCTCCACCCAGGTCCTGACAACAGCCTTGAGCTTTTAGATCCCGATCCTAGGATTCCCCTTTATTATTTTTGTCTCCCCAGAAGCGAGGCCAGCCCTCGGACTTCACCGACCCCTTGTCCACCAAGAGGCCCCGGATCTCCCACTTTGCCCAAAGGACTCAGCCGACATTCAATGGCAAACTGAACTCAGCCCAAGGCAAGGAGGGCCCATTACCTGTTGCAAGCACATCGGAGTCGGTCCCCTCAGCCTCACTTTTGCCTGCTCTGGCCTTGGAGCTGCCCCACAACCCACTAGGCAGCCTCAGCAGTGACCTGACACACAACGGGAAGGATTTAGAGGCCAACTCGGGCGAGAGGTTGTTGGCAGCCCCAGTGGTGACCGCAAGGGACTCTGCCCCGGCTGGGAAACACCACGGGAAATCCCGGAAGAAGCCCAAGAAGCACAAGGAGCGGGAAAGGAGGGAGGAGAAGAATCTGGCCATGCTTCCTCAGCCAAACCCCCAAGAAAAGCCTGAAGGTGGAATGGAAAAAGGGGACGATGTGGTGGCTGAGGGTTCTGCTCCAGGCACTGCTGGTAGGTCCCAAAGCTGATTGGTCGTCTCTACGGTCGTGAGGCTTTTGGGGTTTCTCAGAAAGTGAGAATCTCTTCCCTCTCTTTTTCTGGGGCTTCTTTGCTTCTTCCTCTTTCCTTTTGTGGAGAGTGTTTGGAATCTGCCTGTGTCCTGCCACGTCTGCTCCTTTGATTTGGCCCGTGCCGATATTTAACATGTTCCTAATTGGGAGCTGCCCTGAAGATGAAGGACACTCTCCTGGGTCAGATCGAACATGGCCTTAATGCTATCCTATAGAGCAGGTATGGGCAAACCCAGGCTGGATGTGGCCCCTTGGGCTCTTTCCTCAGGGGCTCCTCTTTCTCACCATCCTTTCCTTTCTCTTTCCCTCCCTTACTTCCTTCCCTCTTCCTCTCTCCTTCCCTCTCTCCTTCACCTTCCTTCCTTCCTCCCCTTTTGTCTTTCCTTCCTTCTCTCTTTCCTCCCTTCCCTTTGCTTCCTTCCCTTCCTCTTTCTCCCTCTCTCCATTCCCTTCCACCCTTTCATCCTTCCTTCTCTCTTTCCTTCCACTTTCCGTTCCTTCCTTCCATCCTTCTTTTCCTTCCTTCCATTCTTCCTTCTCTTTTTCCTTTCTCCTTTCCTCCCCCCTTCCTTACCCCCCTCTTTCTCCTTCCATCTTTCCTTCTCTCTTTCCTTCCTTCCATCCTTCTCTTCCTCCCTCCCTCCCTCCCTCCCTCCCTTCCTCCTTTCCTTCCTTCCTTCCCCTTTCTCCTTCCCTTCCTTCCATTATTCACTTCCTCCCTTTTGGCATCCCTTCCTTTTCTATTTCCACCCTCCTTCCCTCTCTCCCTCTTTCTCCTTTCATCCTTCCCTTCCTCCCTTTTGTCCTTCCTTTCTTCCTTCTTCCCTCCCTCCTTTCCTCTCTTCCTTCTTTCTCCTTCCATCCTTTGTTCCTTCCTTTTTGTTCCTCCTTCCTTCCTCTTTCCTTCCTCCTTCCCTCTCTCCCTCTTTCTCCTTCCATTCTTCCTTCCCCCCTTTCGTCCCTACTTCTCTCTTACCTTCTACCTTATGTTCCTTCCTTCCATCCTTCTTTTCCTCCCTCCCTTTCCTCTTTTTCCTTTCTCCTTCCCTCCCTCCCTCCCTTCCCTTCCTCTTTCTCCTTCCATCCATCCTTCTTTTCCTCCCTCTCTTCCTCCCTTCCATCTTTTCCCTTTCTCCTTCCCGTCCTTCCATTGTTCCCTTCCTCCCTTTTCGCCTTCTCTCTTTCCTCCCTCCTTCCCTCTCTCCCTCTTTCTCCTTTCATTCTTCCCTTCCTCCCTTTCTTCTGTCTTCCCTCCTTCCTTTCCTCTCTCTCTTCTTTCTCCTTCCATCCTTTGTTCTTTCCCTTTTGTCCTTCCTTCCCTCTCTCCTTCTTCCTTCCCCCTCTCCCTCTTTCTCCTTCCATCCTTCCCTTCCTCCCTTTTGTCCTTCCTTCCTTCTCCCTTTCCTTTCTTCCTCCTTCCCTTCCTTCCTTCCATCACCAGTCCTCTAAGCAGGGGGTGCTAACATGCGCCCCCCAAGTTAGAAAGTCTGCCCAAGCCTGCTATAGAGCAGTGTTTCTCAAACTCTGCAGTTGGCAACTTTGACCAAGCCATGTTGCAGGTTGAGAAGAGAAGTGATCTGTCTGTCTGATGTTTTCAGGTTCGAAGGCACCTATATTTTCATATGCAATGCGAGATACTTAATCGGACACTTTTGGGATAGCAGTTTCCATGCATCTCAGATGTTCCATCTCTCTCCAGCCTTCTGAGAAAAAAGTAGCTACTACCATTCTTTTTCAATAGGAGCACATTAGAGGTTGGATATCCCTTATCCAAGGGACCGCAGTGGTGCAGTGGGTTAAACTGCTGAGTTGCTGAACTTGTTGACCAGAAGGTCAGTAGTTCAAATCTGGGCAGCGGGGTGAGCTCCCACTGTTAGGCCAAGCTTCTGCCCACCTTGCAGTTTGGAAACATGCAAATGTGAATAGGTACTGCTCTGGCGGGAAAATAACAGCGCTTCATGCAGCCATGCTGGCCACATGACCTTGGTGGCGTCTACGGACAACACCGGCTCTTTGGTTTAGAAATGGAGATGAGCACCACCCTTCAGAGTCGGACATGACTAGACTTAATGTTGAGGGGAAACCTTTACCTTATCCCTTATCCAAAATACCTGGAGACAGGAATGGTCTGTATTTCGGAATTTTTTAGGGTTTTCACATCTTTGACGAGATGCTGAATCAGATCCCTTTTGATTCGAGAAAGACTGAAGGTCTGAGAAACCCAATGAGGAGTCAGGAGAAGTCAAACATATATTACATTTTGGAGATTTTTCAGAAAATCCACAGGAGGTGGCAGTCGAGAGCCGGTCAAAAACTCCCTTTCCTGCCCCCTGCTGGCTTCTGCTTTTTCTGTTTTTGTGGGATGGTTTCTGAATGTCTTCATTGGCCCAAATGACCGTACTGAGGGCCAGTGTTGTGGAGCCTAAAATCAGGAACAGTGCCCATCCGGATGAAGTTGGACTGCAAATCCCAACATTCTCTACCCTTCGTTTGGCCCGCTAGGAGAGCGCCTTGTAGTCCAACTGCTGCTATTTTCTTCTTTGTCTTCTTTCTCTTTTTCTTCATGCTCTGCTTCTTTTTTACTTTTCTTCTTCTTTCTTATTCCCCTCCTATTGCTCCACTTCCTTTGCTTGTCCATCTCAGGTATGGGCATACACAGGCCCGGGGGCCGGATGCGGCCCCTTGGGTTCTTTTCTAGGCCCTCCTCTCTCTCACCATCCTATCCTTCCTTCCTTCTCTCTTTCCTTCCTTCCTTACTTACTTACTTACTTACTTACTTACTTACTTACCTCAATCTTTCTCCCTCCTTTCTTCCGTCTCTTCCACCTTTCCTTCATTCCCTCTTTCCTCTCTCCTCCCTCTTTCTCCTTCATTCCCATTTGTCTTTCTTCTCTTTCCTCCCTCCCTTACTTCCTTACTTCTCTTTTTCCTTCCTCCTTCTCTTCCTTCTATCCTTCCTTTCCACTCCTTTGTCCTTCTTTCCTTCTTTTCTTCCTTCTCACTTTCCTTCCTCCTTACCTCCCTTCATCCCTTCCTTCCCCCTCTCTTTCCCCCTTCCCTTTTGTCTTTCTTTCCTCCTTACCTCCCTCCATCCCTTCCTTCCCTCCTTTTCTCTCTCCTTCCTTCCTTCCTTCCCTTTTGTCTTTCCTTTCTTCTCTCTTTCCTCCCTCCCTTCTCTCCCTCCCTCTTACTCCCACCATCCATACCCTTCCACCCTTTCCTTCTCTTTCCTTTCTCCTTCCCTTCCCTCCCTCCTTTCATTCTTCTCTTCCTCCCTCCCTACTTCCTTACTTCTCTTTTTCCTTCCTCCTTCCCTTCCTTCCATCCTTCCTTTCCACTTTTTTGTCCTTCCTTCCTTCTTTCCTTCCTCCTTCCCTCTTTCCTTCCTTCCTTCCTCCTTACCTCCCTCCCTCCATCCCTTCCTCCCTCTTTCTCCTTCCACCCTTCCCTTCCACCCTTTCATCCTTTCTTCCTTCCCTTTTGTCTGTCCTTCATTCTCTCTTTCCTTCCTCCTTACCTCTCTCCATCCCTTCCTTACCCCCTTTTCTCCTTCCTTGCTTCACTTTTGTCTTTCCTTTCTTCTCTCTTTCCTCCCTCCCTTCTCTACCTCCCTCTTACTCCCTCCTTCCACCCTTTCCTTCTCTTTTCTTTCTCCTTCCCTTTCTTCCTTCCTTTCATTCTTCTCTTCCTCCCTCCCTACTTCCTTGCTTTTTTTCCCTTCCTCCTTCCCTTCCTTCCATCTTTCCTTTCCACTCTTTGTCCTTCCTTCCTTCTTTCCTCCCTCCTTCCCTCTTTCTCCTTCCATCCCTTCCATCACCGGGGAGCCAGTCCTCCTAGCAGGGGGTGCTAGCATGCGCGCCCCCTCCCGAAGTTAGAAAGCTTGGTCATGCCTGGTCTACCTCCTTTCTCCTCTTCTTCCTCCTCCTCTCTTCCTCCTTATCCTTTTCCTTTTATTCCTCCACTTCCTCTTTTCTTCTTCCTTATTCTCATCCTTTTCTTCATCCTCTTCTTCTTCCTTCTCTTCTTTATTTTTCTCCTATTGCCCTTTTGCCTTTTAATAATAATAATAATAATAATAATAATAATAATAATAATAGCAATAATTATTTATATTCTGCCACTATCTCTGCCTGTTTGAAAAGCCATGTTTTCAGATTAGACTGAAAAACTTGGAGAGTGAGGGCTAGCCTAATCTATGTAGGGAGGACATTCCAGAGACCAGGGGGCCACCACTGAGAAGGCCCTCTCTCTCTCTCTCTCTCTCTCTCTCTCATCCCCACCAACTGCTATTGTGAAGAAGGCAAGACCGAGAGAAGGTTTGGGGATCCTTGTCTTCTCCTCCATCCCTTGACTCCTCCATTTTGCCCTTTTTTCTTTTCCAGGCTTGAATGGGACGTGCCACAGCTCTGCCTCAACAGGATCGGATTATTATGTGTGAGTTTCCCCACATTAGAAGCAAGGGGTTTAGCCGGGCGTGGGATAGAGCTGTTTGAATCCATTGGTTCATGGCGACGTCTCTGGACCATTGAAAGAAAATTTGGTCCCTCTGCTATATGGATATCCTTTCGAATATTTAAATATAGCTCTCATGTCACTTCCAGGCTTCTCTTCTCCGAGACCCCATAGCCATTCCCTGCAAGACATGGTTTGCCAGTCCTTAGCTGCCCTTCATTGGCCGCACTCCAGGTTATATCATGGAATCATGGGCCATCTAGTCCAACCCCCTTCTGCCATGCAGGAAAAGCACAAAGCACCCCAGATAGATGATCTCTGCATTATTGTTGGTGTTGAATAATAATAAAAATAATAATAAATAGAATTGGAAGAGACCACATGGGCCATCTAGTTCAAGCCCCTTCTGCCATGCAGGAAAAGCACAATCAAAGCACCCCAGACAGATGATCTCTGTATTATTATTGTTATTCTTACTACTATTATTATTGAATAATAATAATAATAATAATAATAATAATAATAATAAGAAGAAGAAGAAGAAGAAGAAGAAGAAGAAGAAGAAGAAGAATTGGAAGATACCACATGGGCCAGGCAGATGGCATCAATATTGTTATTATTATTATTATTGTTATCATATAATAATAATAATAATAATAATAATAATAATAATAATAATAATAATAGGAAGAAGGAGGAGGAGGAGGAGGAGGAGGAGAATTGGAAGATACCACATGGGCCGTCTCGTCCAACCCCCTTCTGCCATGCAGGAAAAGCACAATTAAAGCACCCCAGACAAATGATCTCTGTATTATTATTGTTATTCTTATTACTATTATTATTGAATAATAAGAATAAAAATTGGAAGATACCACATGGGCCATCTAGTTCAAGCCCCTTCTGCCATGCAGGAAAAGCACAGTCAAAGCACCCCAGACAGATTGTATTATTATTGTTATTCTTATTACTATTATTATTGAATAATAATAATAATAAGAAGAAGAAGAAGAAGAAGAAGAAGAAGAAGAAGAATTGGAAGATACCACATGGGCCATCTAGTCCAACAGCCTTCTGCCATGCAGGAAAAGCACAGTCAAAGCACCCCGGACAGATGGCATCGGTATTGTTATTATATAATAATAATAATAATAAGAAGAAGAAGAAGAAGAAGAAGAAGAAGAAGAAGAATTGGAAGATACCTCATGGGCCGTTTAGTCCAACCCCCTTCTGCCATGCAGGAAAAGCACAATCAAAGCACCCCGGACAGATGGCATCTGTATTATTATTATTATTATTATTATTATTATTATTATTATTATTATTATTATAATAGAATTGGAAGAGACCAGAATGGCCATCTAGTCCAACCCCCTTCTTCCATGCAGGAAAAGCACAATCAAAGCACCCCTGACAGATGGCCTCCAACCCCCTTCTGCCATGCCATGCAGTGAAAGCACAATCAAATCCCTCCCAAAAGATGACCATCCAGCCTTCCCTCTTGTCTGTCTCCTCCTTGAATTGCTTTTCCCAGAACTGGACACAGGGTTATTACCCCAGGTGAGATCTTCCCAAAGCAGAAGAGAACAGGGCTTTGAATTCCCTCAATCTAGACACTATAGACTCATGGATGCTGGAATTGCCTTGTCTCCCCTCATTTGGCCCTTTCCCTGTTTCTTCTCACCCCGCCAGCAAATACACCCCCATCACCACTGTGGATCAACGCCAGAGCTACAAGAATGACTTCAACGCAGAGTACAATGAGTACCGTGACCTCCACGCACGCATTGAGAGCATCACGCACCACTTCATGCAGCTGGATGCACAGCTCAGGCAGCTTTCGCCGGGCACCGAGGAATACAAGGTGCAGCATAGTTAAAATCGGGTTAAACGTGTGGTGTAAACAAATGGTGTTTGTGTTCTATTGAACAAAGGGGGGAAACGGAATAAGCTGCACTTTTGAGCCTCTAGGCTGGAAAAAATCTCCAAAGATACCAGATGTCGGTTTAAACACCTTGCGTATAACTTTTATTCAGCATTTAAAATCATACAGCAATTTGGTACCAAGGGAGCATTCATTCTCATAATTCATCCATCCTCATACTTATTTATTGTGTACCCGGCATTATATGATCTTATATGTTTTTTATTATGATCATACATTATAATGTAATATTATTATATTATATGATCATACGATCCTAGAGTTGGAAGAGACCTCCAACCCCATTCATCCAGGCATTGAGACACCATCTGATCCTTCCCGACAGATGGCCATCCAGCCTTATAGACTATATTATATTATAATTGCTACATATTATTATTATATATTATATTATTATAATATAATATTGTATTATCATTTTATTTTATTTTATTTTATGGAGCTCCCAGTGGTGCAGTGGGTTAAACCCCTGTGCCGGCAGGACTGAAGACCGACAGGTCGCAGGCTCAAATCCAGGGAGAGGCGGATGAGCTCCCTCTATCAGCTCCAGCTCCTCATGCGGGGACGTGAGAGAAGCATCCCACAAGGATGATAAAACATCAAATCATCTGGGTGTCCCCTGGGCAACATCCTTGCAGATGGCCAATTCTGTCACACCAGGAGCGACTTGCAGTTTCTCAGATCACTCCTGACACGACAAAAAAAATCATTTTATTATTATATATTATGATGTAATATAATTATATTTTAGAATCATATAATCCTAGAGTCAGGAGAGACCCCAAGGGCCATCCAGTCCAACCCCGTTTTGCAAGACACCATTAAATCCCTCCTGACAGATGGCCATCCAACCTTATGGACATTATAATGTTCACGGAGAAACAGAATTACAGAATCATACAATCCCAGAGTTGGAACCCCATTCCAACCCCATTCGCCCAGGCATTGCGACACTATCTTGATACCTCCCGACAGATGACCATCCAGCCTTATAGACTGTATTATATTATTATTGTTATATTTTATTACTATACATTATATTATTATGATATAATATTGAATTCTCATTTTATTAAATACTAGCTTGGGTACCCAGCGTTGCCCAGGTTATTTGAAAAAGTCAGTTTTTAATTGTACAAAATGCATAAGGTTGTGGGTGAACTACAACTCACATCATGCCAGGTTAACCCCGAGAAATTCCATCAATACTTAAAGTTTGTCATGTTGGACAAGTTTGCTCTAGGTGCATCATCAGTGGGGTTCATGTGCTTTCTGGCTGCAGGGTAAACTACAACTCCCCCCATGGTGGGTCAGCCCCATCAAATCCCTCTGCTACGTTCAGTTTGTCATGGGGGTTCTGTATGCCAAGTTAGGTCCAGATCCATCATCTGTTGGGTGCAGTGTCCTCTCTGATAGCAGATGAACTATAAATCCCAGTACCTACAATGGCTATAAATCACGGTATATTTTCCCCAAACCTCTCCAGTATATTTCTTTGTTCATGGTAGGTGTCAAATGTGGTCTAGGTCCATTATCAGTGTGGGTCACAGAGCTCTGACTATATGCAGGGTGAACTACAACTGCCATCATGTGGAGTCAATCCCCTGAAATCCTTCAGTATGTTGAGTTGCTGATTAGTTCTGCTTTGTTTGTTGTGTAGACAAGAGTTGAAAAGATTAGGAAAGGGTTAAGGGAGGGGCAGTGGGCGGGATTATGGGCCAAGCCTCCCACACAGAACCCCCATGTGGGCCACAGCAACGCGTGGCAGGGGACAGCTAGTATAATAATAATAATTAAACATAAGTCAGTTAAAAAATATTGAAACATGAGGTTGAGAGAGAGTGACTTCTCCACCTCTTGCCCGGGTCTCGAGCCATCAGAAATGTACAAGTTCCACAGTCTTCTTGCCATGTTTGGTGCCAATTGTTGTTGTTTTTCTTTTGCAGACGATCCATGACCAGATCTTGCAGGAATACCGGAAAATCAAAAAAGTGAGTCGGTGGGTCTTGGGCACAGGGTGGGCTGCAAGAGCCTTGGTGAAGAGTCCCTTTCATAGAATCACAGCGTTGGAAGAGACTCCATGGGCCAAGTAGTCCAACCCCAATCTGCCATGCAAGGAGAACACAATCAAAGCACCCCCAACAGATAGCCATCCAGACTCGGTTTCAAAGCCTCCAAGGAAGGAGCTTCCATCAGACTCCAAGGCAGAGAGTTCCACTGCTAAACAACTTTTCTTACAATCAGGAAGTTTTTCCTAATGTTAACTGGAATCTCTTTTCCTGTCACTTGAATGCATTTCTCCGAGTCCTAGTTTCCAGGACAGCAGACAACAAGCCTGCTCCCTCTTTCACATATTTATACATGGCACCCTTCTCTTCTCCAAGATAAACAGACCCAGGTCTTTAAGACGCTCCTCATAGGGAGTATTCATGGTCTCCAGACCTTGGATCATTTCAGTTTCTGTCTTTCCCTGGACACCTTCCAAGTTAGAGTCAATATCTCTTTTAAACTGTGTTGCCCAGAATTGGACACAGTGATATTCCAGGTATAGAGATCTAACCAAAGCAAGAGTAGAGAGAGACCATGACTTCTCTCAATCTAGACACTACACTCCTTTGGATGCAGCCCAAAATCCCTTTGGCTTTTTGAGCTACTACATCACAGTGTTGGCTCAAGTTCATCTTGTTCTCCACCAAGACTCCAAGATCTTTATTATTATTATTATTATTTACAGTATTTATATCCCGCCCTTCTCACCCCGCAGGGGACTCAGGGCAGATTATAATGTACACATATATGGCAAACATTCAATGCCAAAGACACACAACAGATATAGACAGACAGTCAGAGGCTATTTAACTTTTCTGGCCGCCAGGGGAGCTGTCGCTTTCATTGTACATCTGTGACACTGATGAAGTACTTCCACATTCCCTGCATGCTTTGCTGGAGTCTTTTTTATGGCCTCTTAAATTAGTTAAATTAGCCTCCCCACACATAGGTGGTACCTAATTTTCCTACTGTCTTTTGGGTTGCAAAGGTCGACAACAAGCTACACAATTGGTCGGAAGCTCACTCCGACCTGGGCTGGCTTCGAACTCATGACCTTTTGGTCAGAAGTGATCTTTGGTCAGAAGTGACACTCAGCCAGCTGCACCACAGTCCCAGTTTTGCACATGAATCTCTGTTGTCAAGCCAGATGTCACTCATCCTGTATCTTAGCATTTCATTTTTTTTCTACTTAAGTGTCTCATCTTACATTTGTCCTTGTTGACATTCATTATGTAACCTTGGGCCCTTTATTATATACTAGCTAGGATAACCGGCGTTGCCCGGGTTATTTGAAAAAGTCATTTTTAATTGTACAAAATGCACACGGTTGTGGGTGAACTATAACTCCCATCATGCCAGGTTGACCTCCCGAATGGTCCAGGTTATTTGAAAAATTACATGTTTAATTGTACAAAATGCATAAGGTTGTGGGTGCACTGCAACTCACATCATGCCATGTTTTGCACATGAATCTCTGTTGTCGAGCCAGGTGTCACTCATCCTGTATCTTAGCATTTCATTTTTTTTCTACTTAAGTGTCTCATCTTACATTTGTCCTTGTTGACATTCATTATGTAACTTTGGGCCCTTTATTATATACTAGCTAGGGTAACCGGCATTGCCCGGGTTATTTGAAAAAGTCATTTTTAATTGTACAAAATGCATAAGGTTGTGGGTGAACTACAACTCCCATCATGCCAGGTTGACCTCCCGAATAGTCCAGGTTATTTGAAAAATTGCATGTTTAATTGTACAAAATGCATAAGGTTGTGGGTAACTACAACTCCCATCATGCCAGGTTGACCCCAAGAAACTCCATCAATACTTAAAGTTTGTCCTGCTGGGCAAGTTTGCTCTAGATTCCTCATCAGTGGGGTTCAGTGTGCTCTCTGGCTGCAACTCCCACTATGGTGAGTCAGTCCCCTCAAACCCCTCCAGTTGGTTGAGTTGCTCTGTGTGACAAGTTAGTTCCAGGTCCATCATTGGTGGAGTTCAGAGTGGTCTCAGATTGTAGGTGAACTATACGTCCCAGTACTCACAACTCCTATAAATCATGGCGAATTCTCCCCAAACCTCTCTAGTATGTTCAGTTGCTGATCAATTCCTCTGTTTGCTGTGTGCCTTACAAAAGAATAAGAAAGGGTTAAGACCAGGGGTCCTCAAACTTTTTAAACAGAGGGCCAGGTCACAGTCCCTCAAACTGTTGAAGGGCCAGATTATAATTTGAAAAAAACGTGAATGAATTCCTATGCACACTGCACATATCTTATTTGCAGTGCAAAAAACACTTCAAAACAATACAATAATGAGAGAGGATTGTTGTTGTTGTGTGCTTTCAAGTCGTTTCAGACTTAGGTTGACCCTGAGCGAAGGCCGGGTAAATGACCTTGGAGGGCCGTGTCCGGCCCCCGGGCTGTAGTTTGAGAACCCCTGGGTTAAGGGATAGGCAGTGGGCGGGGTCATGCAAATTCCACACCAGTGGAGAGAGTCCACTGGGATGTCTGTGGTGGAGGAAACACATTAAATCTAGGATAGAATTGTCCTCATATGAATGGTGGGCAGAATGGTGTTGGTGGAGGACATTGGCAGGGGTCTTGGACATGTTCATGGTGCTCTCTATAACCTGCAATGTCATTGGAAGGAGGGCCATTGGTGTCTCCGGAGGAGTGGGAGCTATGGCTGTTTGTGGAGGCAGGAGCTTGTCTATAAGTGGACATCCCAGCCACACACACACTTCTATTTTCACTTTTATTATGTACTAGCTGTCCCCTGCCACGTGTTGCTGTGGCCCAGTCTGTTGGTCTGGAAAATAAAGTAATGATATAGTGTTGGTTTTTAATATATGTAATATCTTTCTGCTTGTGGGTAAACAGTAATTCGTGCTGTTTCTTTGTCAGTGTTGATGTGGAGAGTGTCTGGTTTGCCCACTCTGGAACATGCAAGATTTATTATTTATTTATTTACTTTATTTGTATACCGCTCTTCTCAGCCTTTAGGCGACTCAGAGCGGTTTACAACAGTTTAGGTATACACAATACAAAATCATTAGGCATTTAAAAGCAATAGCATCACAAGTCATTAAACATCAGCATCAATACATCAATATAACAATTCCATCAGGTCTCAACAATGAAATCAGAATCCAAACTCGTTATCCATTCTTCCGTGTTCCGAAAATCAGTCAATCAATCACACTGCTTAGTCGAATGCCTGTTCAAACAGCCAGGTCTTTACTTTCCTCCGGAATGCCAGCAAGGAGGGGGTCAATCTAATATCTGCAGGAAGGGCGTTCCACAGCCGAGGGGCCACCACTGAGAAGGCCCTGTCTCTCGTCCCCGCCAGGCGTGCTCATTGTCCTCCTTTAAGGGTCCCTTTCAAATCTATGATACTATATCTGTGTGTGTGTGAATAATATCTATCTATCTACCTATCTATCTATCTATCTATCTATCTATCTATCTATCTATCTGTCTATCTCTATGGCTGGATGGCTCTTTGTCAGGAGGACTTTGATTACATTTTCTTGCCCTGATGAAGGGAGTTGGATTGGATGGCCTTAAGTATTTTCTGTTGGTCATGGGGGTTCTGTGTGGGAATTTTGCCCCAATTTTGTCTCTGGTGGGGTTCAGAATGCTCCTTGATTGTAGGTGAACTATAAATCCCAGTAACTACAACTCCCAAATGGCAAGGTCTATTTCCCCCAAACTCCATCTGTGTTTATATTTGGGCATATGGAGTATTCGTGCCGTCCAGATCCATCATTGTTTGAGTGCTCTCTGGATGTAGGTGAACTACAACTCCCAAACTCAAGGTCAATGCCCACCAAACCCTTCCAATATTTTCTGCTGGTCATGGGAGTCCTGTGTGCCAAGTTTGGTTCAATTCCATCGTTGATGGAGTTCAGAATGCTCTTTGATTGTAGGTGAACTATAAATCCCAAGAGAAGAAAAGTAGGTATATAGTATATGTAATAAACTGCCCACTTCTGTAGAACCTCTCTTAAAGTTATTTAAAATATCTTTAAGAGAGGTTCTACAGAAGTGGGCAGTTCATTACATGTACTATATACCTACTTTTCTTCCCTTGGCATATTATAGACATCTGTGTATTTAAGAACTATAAATCCCAGCAACTACAACTCCCAAATGACAAAATCGTAATTTTTGAGTGATGGTCACTCCTTGTGTTGTGAGACGTTTTGCTGCCAAATTTGGTGTGATTTCGTTCATTGGTTCTTTTGTTTCGAAGGTACTCATTATGCACAGAGCATTTATATATATATATATAGATATAGATGGATATATTTTTCCCCTTTTTCTTCCCTCCAACATTATAGTCGAACCCTCTTTACTGCCAGGAGAAGAACCGCTGTGAGTACCTGCACTACAAGCTGGCCCACATCAAGAAAATGATTACCGAGTATGACGAGCAGCTCTTGGAGCCTTGACACCGAAAGGGAGAAGAAGAGGCGGGCCAGCAGGGTGTTGAGACAAAGTTTGGGGTGCCTTTTGCCCTTTTTAATGCGACACAACCATATCCCAATATTAAAACAGAAAGCACACCCATGGATGGCGGCTCGGCGTCATTTCAGGGCAGTTCCCCTTCCCAAAGATGCTGCTGCCTGTGATGTTAAGTCCCCACTTATTGTGATGTTTGCTTTGAGAAAACCGCAGTCTTTTTCTCGTCCTACTAGTGTTGGAAAATGGTTTCCGATGGGGGTCTCAGACCCCTTTTGCGCCCGCTCTCCATCTTCTCGTTGGGCTTTTGCTCTCCTCTTGGCCTCGCTGGGTTTTTGCTCTCATGGTATCTTTGCCGTTCTGTGGAAAAGTGTCACCATCATCATCATCATAACCTCTTTCTTCCCAAAGTCGTTGCAATCGAAGCATAGCGGCTGGGGATGGGTCTATGTAGGGAGCCAATCAGTTGTAGGGATGCTCCGTGGGAGGGCACAACTCAAGAGGAAACAATGACACAGATAGGCTGATGAGCTTTTGATTAACTCAAATTAATCAAATTCCGCGCAAAACAAAGTTGCAGAGATTAAAAGACAAAGGTGATGAAAAATGGCATAACTAATCAAGCTTGATCCATTTCCTTGGGGTTTTTCAGTGGAGCCCCAAAATGAGACGGAAAACCATTATTAAGGCTCTTCTGCCATTTTTAGCTCTTTTCACGCTTTCCTCATTTCCCATTTTAAAACCATCGTGGGAAGTAATTTATCGAAATGCGCACACATATGTGGAACCTGTGTCCCTTTGATGACAAATCTTAAATGTGAGATTGTTTTTTGGAGATATTTGAGTACAGTGTTGTTGTTTTCTTTTAAAGAGATGAGCACAGAGATGGGGGAGGGGGAAAAAAAACCTTCCTACGATATTTTTTGCAAACCAGAGTTGGATACAAAGATGTAATGTGTATATTACACACTTGTGTACATATAAGAAAGATATATATATGTATGTATAAATATAAATAAAAAATATATATGTTCTGGAACGTTCTAGGATTTCGAATAGATATATTTAATCGGGATGGAAGGCGGAGAAATACTGTGACTTGCCGGCTTTTGCTTGCTTGGTTTTTGGAGGTTTTAAAAATCATTAAAATATGTCTTGATGTCCTGTTTGATGCCCCTTTTTGCCATTTCAACTCTTCTTAATTTGTCCCAAATTAGGGTTTTTTCCCCCTCTTTAACTCCTATAAATCATGGTGAATTCTCCCCAAACTTCTCTAGTATGTTCAGTTGCTGATCAATTTATCTGTTTGCTGTGCACCATAGAAAAGAATAGGAAAGGGTTAAGGGAAAGGCAGTGGGCGGGATCATGCAAATTCCACACTGATGGAGAGAGTCAGAAACACTGGGGTGTCTGTGGTGGAGGAAACACATAAAATCTAGAATGGAATTGGCCCCGTATGAAAGCCTTAACTTGGGTGGTGGGCAGAATGGTGTTGGTGGAGGACATCGGCACGGCTCTTGGACATGTTTACGGCGCTCACTATAACCTGCAATGTCATTGGAGGGAGGGCCATTGGTGTCTCCTGAGGAGTGGGAGCTATGGCTATTTGAAAAAGTCATTTTTGTAATAGCGCAAAATGCATAAGGTTGTAGGTGAACTACAACTCACATCATGCCATGTTCACCCCAATAAACTCCATCACTATTTAAAGTTTGTTATGTTGGGCAAGTTTGCTCTGGATGCAACATTGGTGGGGTTCAGTGTATTTTCTGGCTGTAGGATGAACTACAACTCTCACGATGATGAGTCAGTCCCCTCAAACACCTCCAGTAGGTTGAGTTAGTCATGGGGGGTTCTGTGTGCCAAGTTTGGTCCAGGTCCATCAGCGGTGGAGGTCATCATTTCTCTGGTTGTGGGTGAACTACAACTCCAGGTCCATCAGCAGTGGAGGTCACTGTTTCTCTGGTTGTGGGTGAACTACAACTCACATCATGCCCTGTTCACCCCAGTGAACTCCATCACTACTTAAAGTTCGTTATGTTGAGCAAGTTTGCTCTGGATGCATCATTGGTAGGGTTCAGTGTACTTTCTGGCTGTAGGGTAAACTACAACTGCCACGATGACGAGTCAGTCCCCTCAAACCCCTCCAATAGATTGAGTTAGTCATGGGGGTTCTGTGTGCCAAATTTGGTCCAGGTCCATCAGCGGTGGTCACCGTTTCTCTGGTTGTGGGTGAACTACAACTCCAAGAAAGGAAGGTCAGTTTCCCTCAAACCCCACCAGTAATCAAATTTCGACATATCGGGTATGTGTGCCAAGTTTGGTCCAGATCCATCGGTGTTTGGGTTCACAGTGCTTTCTGGATATAAGTGAACTACAACTCCCCCCAATCGAGGTGAATTTCCCCCAAAGGCCTCCAGTATGTTTTGCTGTTCATGGAAGCTCTGTGTGTGAAGTTTGGTCCAATTCCATCTTTGATGGAGTTCAGAGTGCTCATTGATTACGGGTGAACTATAAATCCCAGTACCTACAACTACACAATGTCCAGGCCAATTCCCTTCAAAACCCACCAGTATTCAAATGTGGGCATATCGGGCATGCATGCCAAGTTTGGCCCAGATCCATCATTGTTTGGGTTCATAGTGCACTCTGGATGTAGGTAAACTATTATTTATTTATTTATTTGCTTTATTTCTATACCGCATTTTTCAGCCTAAACAGGCGACTCAATGCGGTTTACAAGGTACAAATTATCATAACAGTGTTAGTGCAATTAAAAACACAACAAATGTAACAACAGGATCAACAACACCGATCCACAACAATTAACAAACAACATGAAACAAACATAGCGCCTCAATGAAATCAAATCCGAACTCATAATCCTTGTGCCATTCCTATGTTCCATTTACCGTCTTCCTATGTTCGGTTGCACTGTTTAACCAAACGCTTGTTCATAAAGCCAGGTCTTAACCTTTCTCCGAAACGCCAGCAACGATGGTGCCTGTCTGATGTCTACCGGTAAGGCATTCCATAGCCGAGGGGCCACCACTGAGAAGGCCCTGTCTCTCGTCCCCGCCAAGCGCGCCTGAGACGCAGGCGGGACCGAGAGCAGGGCCTCCCCAGACGATCTTAATGTTCTAGTCGGTTCATAGGTGGAGATGCGTTCGGAGAGGTAAGTGGGGCCAGAACCATTTAGGGCTTTATAGGCTAAAGCCAGCACCTTGAATTGTGCCCGGTAGCAGATTGGCAGCCAGTGGAGCTGGCTCAACAGAGGATTTATTTATTTATTATTCAAACTTATATACCGCCACTCCCCTAGGGCTCGGAGCGGCTTACAAGAACAGACTAAAATCTAAAACAATTTTAAAAACAGCAATATCAAAGATCAAAAGCCTGTCGAAACAAATATGTCTTACATGCCCTGCGGAACGCTGATAAGTCCCGCAAGGCACGGACTTCAGGTGGCAGAGTGTTCCAGAGCGATGGTGCCACTGCTGAAAAGGCTCTGCGTCTGGTTGCTGTTAGACGCAAGGTGTTGACACTGGGAATTTCCAATAGATCTTGGTCCTCAGAACGGAGGGATCTCTGGGGTTGGTAGGGGGTGAGGCGGTCCCTCAGGTACATCGGCCCCAGACCATGCAAGGCCTTAAAGGTGAGTACCATCACTTTGAAAGCGATCCGGTGCTCAATTGGTAACCAATGCAGCTGTAGTAAGATTGGTGTTATGTGGCATCTCATCGGAATTCCCGCAAGAAGCCGAGCAGCTGCATTTTGTACCAACTTGAGTTTCCGGATCACCAACAGAGGAAGGCCAATGTAGAGGGCGTTACAGTAGTCCGGTCTTGAGACGATCGTGGCCTGGATCACTGCAGCTAGGTCGTCCCTGGATAGGTAGGGGGCCAGCCGTCTAGCCTGCCGCAGAAGAAAAAAGGCGGTTCTGCTAGCGGCGGAGACCTGGGCCTCCATCGTCAGCAGAGGGTCCAAAAGGACTCCCAGACTATTTACCAACGATGATGGGTGTAGCGCCTCACCATCCAGGGTAGGCAGCTGGATATTCCCACTGCCCGGTCGACCCAGCCATAGGATCTCCGTCTTTGCTGGATTCACCCTCAACCTGCTGGCACGCAGCCATCCAATAATGGCCTCGAGGTACTGGTGGAAATAATCGGGTGCAGGATCCGTATCATCAGCGTACTGGTAACACTCAAGCCCGAAACCTCGAACCAGCTGAGCGAGTGGTCGCATATAGATGTTAAACAACAGAGGGGAGAGAATGGCCCCCTGAGGAACCCCACAAGATAGAGGGGACCTTTCGGAGACCAGGCCTCCCCTCTCTACTCACTGTCCACGGTTGTGAAGAAAGGAGGACAGCCAGTTTAAAGCTGTCCCCCTGACTCCAACAGCAACAAAGATTGTGGTCGACTGTGTCAAATGCTGCTGTGAGATCCAATAACACAAGCAGCACCAACCCGCCCTGGCCAAGCTGGCATCGAAGGTGATCCGTGATGGAGACCAGTCTCTGTCCCGTGTCCCGCACAGATGCCGGACTGGAAGGGATCTAGTCCGGCTGTGTCGTCTAGGAATTGCTGCAACTGCTCCGCTGCTGCGCTCTCAATCACCTTGCCCAGAAACAAAAGATTCGAAACTGGGCGGTAACTGGGGGGAACCAAACAATCTAAGTCTGGTTTCTTCAGCAGGGGAGAGACCACCGCCTCTTTTGATACTATGATGTATTGGGACGCTTTCTTCCCTCCCGATTTATGGCCATCCGCCTATACTTATGGGTATGAATATTTCCTATTTGGTTCTAAAAACATAGAAAAACTTCATTATACTGCAAAAAACTCCTGATAGATGGTAGAACTCCATAAAGAAATAGAGCTATAGTATAGAATCCTAGAGTTGGAAGGGGCCTCAAAAGGCCATCTAGTCCAACCTCATTACGCCAAGCATGAGGACACCATCCAAACCCTCCTGACAGATGGTCATTCAACCTCATAGATGGTAGAACTCCATAGTGTAATAGGGCTATAGTGTAGAATCCTAGTTAGAAGGGGCCTCATTCTGCTAGGCAGGAGGACACCACCCAAACCCTCCTGACAGATGGCCATTCAACCTCATAGTTGGTAGAACTCCATAAAGAAATAGAGCTATAGTATAGAATCCTAGAGTTGGAAAGGGCCTCAAAAGGTCATCTAGTCCAACCTCATTACACCAGGCATATGGACACCATCCAAACGGCCATCTAGTCGAACCTGATTACGTCAGGCATGAGGACACCATCCAAACCCTCCTGACAGATGGCCATTCAACCTCATAGATGGTAGAACTCCATAAAGAAATAGAGCTATAGTATAAAATCCTAGAGTTGGAAGGGGCCTCAAAAGGTCATCTAGTCCAACCTCATTACGCCAGGCATGTGGACACCATCCAAATCCTCCTGAGAGATGGCCATTCAACCTCATAGATGGTAGAACTCTTTAGTGTAATAGGGCTATAGTTTAGAATCCTGGAGTTGGAAGGGGTCTCAAAAGGCCATCTAGTCGAACCTCATTACACCAGGCATGAGGACACCATCCAAACCCTCCTGACAGATGGCCATTCGACCTCATAGACAATAGAAGTTCCATAGAGAAATAGAGCTATAGTATCACAGAACCCTAGAGTTGGAAGGGATCCCAAGAAGTCATCTAGTCCAACCCCCTTTGGCCGAGTATGTATGCACAGTCAAAGCCCTCCTAAAAGATGCCCAATGGCCTACAGAGACAGGACTTTCTGCTGACTTCTCGGAATGGAAATTTCCCATTGGCTCCCAATTTTTGTCCCCAGTGCCAGGGACAACACCAATCCCCCCCCCCCCCCCCAAATGCAATGAGTATCAATGTCAAGGCAGCCTTGGAGCCCCACCAAAAAGACTTCCGGCACTCTGGTTGATCCATGAGCCAAAAGCCTCCTTCCAGGTTCCAGTGGAAATCTACCACCGTCAAGGAACGGACCCCAAAGGCCATCTAGTCCAATCCCCTCCACCCTTCCATGCCCAAAAAAATGCCCTCAAGTCATAGCAATAGAGCTGGAAGGGGGCAGCAAACCCAACTCTATTCGGAAAAGGAAGAAAACACAACTAAAGCCCTCCTGAAAGAGACTTAGCTAACTTCTGTTGAAAGGCCTTCCAATCACAATTATTGATTCATGCTGTGCCAATAAACAACCCTATATACTATACCGTACAATACAATACATTCTTTACCTTGCAGAAAAGGGTTGGACTGGATGGCCTTTAGGGCTCCCTTCTAAGTCCAAGTTTTGCCAAGTGGAAGTCAGTGCCAAAGGCACCAGTGGAAATGTACCCACCCGCTCATCCGTCGAGCCAAAACCAACCTGACAAAAGAGCTGTTGCTTCTGCCCATCGGGATCATCCTGTCCTGGCTTCGAACAATGAAGGCGGCCTGGGATCCAGGACTTCCCAAGCCTCCCTCCTTGGCATCAAGAGGCCTCCAAGGCCAAAGCAGGAGGCAGCAACATATGGGGGCAAAGCAGAGTCATAGAATCTGAGAGTTGGAAGAGAACCCCCAAGAGGTCATCCAGACCAACCCTATTCTCCCAAGACGCCATCTGATCCCCTCTGACAGATGGCCATCCAGTCTCAAAGACACTAGAAGATTCATGGAGAAATATGGCTATTGAATCATAGAATCCTAGACTTGGAAGGGATCCCAGGAGGTCATCCAGTCCAGCCCCATTCTGTCAAGACACCATCCGATCTCTCTTAACAGATCCATCCAGCCTCATAAACATTAGAAGGTTCATGGAGGAATAGGGCTATAGGATTACAGAATCCTAAAGTTGGAAGGGACCCCAAGAGGTCATCCAGACCCATTCTGCATAGACATCATCCGATCCCCCCCCAGCAGATGGCCATCCAGCCACATAGACATTACAATGTTCATGGAGAAACAGGGCTATAGGATCATCGCAGCCTAGTTGGACGAGACTCCCAAGAGATCATCAAGACCAACCCCATTCTGTCGAGACACTATCTGATCCCTCTTAACAGATAGCCATCCAGCCTCATAGACATTAGACGTTTCATGGAGAATTAGGGCTATAATATCATAGTATCCTAAAGTTGGAAGAGAAGCCAAGAGGTCATCCATTCTGTCAAGACACCATCCAATCCTTCCTGACAGATGGCCATCCAGCCTCATAGACATTAAACGTTTCATGGAGAAATAGGACTATAGGATCATTGAATCCTAGACTTGGAAGAGACACCCAAGAGGCCATCTAGTCCCACCCCATTCTGCCAAGACACCACCCAATCCCTCCCGAGAAATAGCCACCCAGCCTCATAGACTTTAGAAAGTTCATAAAGAAACATGGCTATAGGACTATCAAAGCCTAGAGTTGAATGAGACCCCAAGAGGTCATCCAGACCAATACCATTCTGCCAAGACACCAGCAAAGCCCTCCCAACAGACGGCCATCCTGCTTTAAGAAAATCTCCAGAGAAGTAAAGAGACTCCATTGAACTCCCAGGCAACATGTTCCACTGTTGAAGAGGTCCTAATGTGTTTAGGCGGAATCTCTTTTCCTGCAGCAACGAAAACCCTTGGTGTGGAAGGGACCCCCCAAAGCCGTCTGGTCCAAGCCGGTTCTGCCGTGCAGAAAAGCTCAAAATCAAAGGGGCCGGGGATGAGATAAGAGGCCTGGGCCTGTGTTTGCTCTGCCGGCGGGCTCCCAATGACCCTTGCCCCCCAGGCAAAGATAAGGTGGGTTTCAGGGAGGCCTTCGGAGGCTGAGGCTGATTCGAAGACTGCTCACAAAGAGGAAAGACTTCGTGGCAAGGGCTTCAAAACCCAGGTTGGTCTACATGACCTTTAGGGTCCCCTTTCTGATTCCCTATCCATGTCCCACCTTTGGGTCCCTTTCCATGGAGCCCTAGCCTGAAGATGCCCTCTCTCTTCCAAGTCAATAGAGGCTCAGTATATTATTATTATTATTATTATTATTATTATTATTATTATTATGGTTCCCGTCATATTATTATTATTATTATTATTATTATTATTATTATTATTAGGGTTCCTGTCCAATCTATTATTATTAGTATCACTATTATTATTATTATTATTATTATTATTATTATTATTGGGGTTCCTGTCAAATATATTATTATTATTATTATTAATATTGGGGTCCCTTTCAAATCTATTATTATTATTATTATTATTGGGTCCTTTTCAAAGCTATTATTATTATGATTACTGGGGTTCCTGTCATGGAGAAATAGGGGTATTGAATCATAGAATCCTAGACTTGGAAGGGATCCCAGGAGGTCATCCAGTCCAACCCCATTCTGTCAAGACAACATCCGATCTCTCTCAACAGATGGCCATCCAGCCTCATAAACATTAGAAGGTTCATGGAGGAATAGGGCTATAGGATTATATAATAATAATAATAATAATAATAATAATTATTATTATTATTATATATTATTAGTATTAGTATTAGTATTGGGGTCCCTGTCAAATCCATTATTATTACTATTATTATAATTTTTGGAAATAAGTATTGTAATTGGCTGGTTGGGGGTGAAGGATTAGCACTGGATGATTGGATGTAATGAAGCAGGAAAATGAAATATTATGGGTATCAAGACATACATGTTCTGTACAAAGTGTTAATGGGAAGTGATAAGTATAAGAATTTTAAACACTGAATATGTTAAAGCTACAATAAATAAAAAGTTTAAAAATACTATTATTATTATTTCATTATTATTATTATTATTATTATTATTATTAATATTAGGGTCCCTTTCAAATCTATTATTATTATTATTATTATTATTATTATTATTGGGTCCTTTTCAAATCTATTATTATTATTATGATTACTGGGGTTCCTGTCAAGGAGAAATAGGGCTATTGAATCATAGAATCCTAGACTTGGAAGGGATCCCAGGAGGTCATCCAGTCCAACCCCATTCTGTCAAGACAACATCCGATCTCTCTTAATTTAGGATTCCTGTCATATCTATTATTATTATTATTATTATTATTATTATTATTATTATTATTATTCAAGGTAAAGCTTTCCCCTTAACATTAAGTCCTGTCGTGTTCGACTCTGTGGGATGGTGCTCACCTCCATTTCTAAGCCGAAGAGCCGACGTTGACCATAGACACCTCCAAGGTCATGTGGCCGGCATGACTATATGGAGGGCCATTACCTTCCCGCCAGAGCGGTACCTATTGATCTACTCACATTTACATGTTTTCGAATTGCTAGGTTGGCAGAAGCTGGGGCTGACAGAGGAAGCTCACGCCACTCCCCGGATTCAAGCTTGCGACCTTTTGGTCAACAAGCTCAGCGGTTTATCCCACTGCGCCACCGGGGGCTTTTTTATTTCACTCTAACGGCGCTCCATGCAGTCATGTGTGACTCTGGGGTGTCGTGCTCATCTCCATTTCTAAGACTGCATAGAGCGCTGTTACCTTCCCGCCAGAGCGGTACCTATTGATCTACTCACATTTACATGTTTTCGAACTGCTAGGTTGGCAGAAGCTGGGACTAACAGCGGGAGCTCACACCACTCCTCAGATTCGAACCTGCGACCTTTCGATCAGCAAGTTCAGCAGCTCTGCAGTTTAACCCGCTAAGCCACCAGGGGCTCCATCATCATCATCATCATTATTATTATTATTATTATTATTATTATTATTATTATTGGGGTCCCTTTCAAATCTATTATTATTATTATTATTACTATTATTATTACTATTATTATTATTATTATTATTATTATTGGGGTCCCTTTCAAATCTATTATTATTATTATTATTATTATTGGGGTCCCTCTCAAATCTATTATTATTATTATTATTATTATTATTATTATTATTATTACTGGGAAAAGTTCCTTTCAAATTAGTGCAGGATCCCTTTCAAGCCAATGCCTCCCCTCCTGGTGCCTCTGGGCCTTGCAGCCTAGAGAAAAAAAGGGGGGGGGGGGCTGTGGAAATTTTTGCTTTGAGGGTGGAGCCATGAGGGGGCATGGGAGGGTCTTTGCCCCCTCCTCCCCCTCATTCCTCTGCTTCAGCCTTCTTTGCTGGAACTTCAAGAGAGTGATCGGATTGCCAGGTGAGGGTCTTATGGGGTGTCTTATAAGTGGGGAAAGGGCTTTGGATCAGGGTTGGGGGTCTCTCCATGTTGCAGAGGGGTTTACGGGGCGGAGGGGATGTGTGGGAAAGAGGAAGCAGACCTCCTAACTGGAGACCCCCTGCCCAAAGCAAAGCCACCCCTTCGGTTAACCCACCCCTTTGGCACCCAATTGCCTGGCTTGGTCTCACTCTCCTTCATGTGGGATCAAGAGAGAGTTCCCATCCTTTGGATTCGGCAACTCTGGATGTTTGGAGAGCGCATCCCCTATTGGGGATTCTGGGAGTCGGAGTCCACCCAAAAAAAGCAATACAGAGGTCTGTTATCCTTTTATTTCCTTGAGTTGAATGCACTATCTAATCAAATCTAGTCATGTTCTGGCACCAAAGCTTCCAGCAATGGAAAGGAAAACTTTGGGGTGCATCTCTGCTGCAGAATGAACCCACTTTAAAATACCTAGGGACCGTCATTTGCAGTCGTGATCCACCTCTTGATGCCTCACCAAACTACGAATCCCAGGATGGCAAAGGACAGAGGTGAGCTCAGGAATCGGTGTGCCCTTAACTCAGCGCAACGCTAATGACCATATGATGCACATCTAATGCACACCCCAATTTCGGCAAGGTGGTTTAGATTCGCGTCAATTCATAGGAACTATGAATCCCAGCCAGTGGTTCTCAACCTTCCTAACACCGCGACCCCTTAATACGGTTCCTCATGTTGTGGTGACCCCCAACCCTAAAATTATTTTCGTTGCTACTTCATAACTGGAATTTTGCCACTGTTATGAATCATCATGTAAATATCTGATAGGCAAGATGTATTTGCATTATCTGGACCTTGGGAGTTGTAGTTGCTGGAATTTATAGTTCACCTACAATCAAAGTGCATTCTGAACTCCACTAGAGATGGAATTGACCCAAACTTGGCACACAGAACACCCATGACCAACACAAAATAATGAAAGGTTAGGTGAGCATTGGCCTTGAGTTTGGGAGTTGTAGTTCATCTGTCTCCAGAAAGCACTGTGGACTCAAACAATGATAGATCTGGACTAAACTTGGCACGAATACTCAATATGCCCAAATGTGAACACTGGTGGAGTTTGGGGAAAATAGACCTTGACATTTGGGAGTTGTAGTTGCTGGGATTTATAGTTCACCCACAATCAGAGAGCATTCCGAACCCCACCAATGATAGAATTGGACCAGACTTCCCACACAGAACTCCCATAACCAGTATCCTGATGGTCTTTGGCGACCCCTCCGACACCCCCTCGCGACCCCCCCAGGGGTCCCGACCCCCAGGTTGAGAAACACAGGAATAAACAATGCCTCTCTTTCTTTCCAGAGTCCATGGCTGCACCGTTCGTGGTGGAAAGCCCGGACGTCAGGTACACCCCGGACGTGATCGAGGCCAGGTACGACTACCAGGCGGTCCAGGTGTGCCAAGAGGATGGCGTCACCAAGGTAACCAAGGCATCCAGGCGCAATATTTTTTGGTTCCCGTTGCTGTATACCTTTCTTTCAATACGAATATCGTCCTTTCTGAGTTTATTAGGGCTGTGCAAAGCTTCGGAGGTCCGTTTTGTAATATGGAGATTCATAGGATTCGTCAATACAAATCTCTGCATTACGCATCCGAACTGCGAGAGCTTTTGTTGTTTTGGAGAGTTTTTGTTTTGGAGCGTTTCAAGCTGTAGTTTTTTTCAATGTAACGTATCCAATTGTTTGGGGTGGGAGGAGGAGGGTGACAGACAACAGGTTTTTTTTCCTTGTCAGCCAATCACACAGCTTTCTCCTTTGATTTATAAAAACTTTTTAAAAAATTCCGAAAAATCAGTGCATGACCAAAATGTTCTGAAAATCGGCAGGCTGAAAGTTGTTTATGTTGCCTACAAGTGCTCCTACAAGTGCGCTGAAAGCTGCAAGGTTCCTTCCGCTGTATGCCTTTCTTTCAATACAAAGACCAAGTCCCTTTCGGGCTTATAGTATGCTTTATTAGGGCCGTGTAAAGCTTCGGAGGTCCCTTTCATAATATGGAGATTCGTAGGATTCATTAATAATTCATTACTCATTGGAACGGGATATCCCCTCTCCGAAGCATTACGGAATAGAACGGAAGTCTCTGAAACATTTCAGAGAGATTAGTAAACAATTAAATACAAATAATACTTTATTTGTATTCCGCCCTAACTCAGGGGACTCAGGGCGGATTCCAGCATTCACAAACGCGAAGGCAAACATTCAATGCCTAAAAACAATGAAACACAGATAAAACTAAAGCAGTGTTTCTCAACCAGAGGATTGGGACCCCTGGGGGAGGGGGGTGTCACAAGGGGGTTCAATAAGGGTCTCCAAAGACCATCAGAAAACACATATTTCTGATGATCTTAGGAATCCCTTTGGCATAGTCATTTGGGTTCACAGTGCTCTGTGGATGTAGGTGAACTACATCTCTGCTAAATCACTGTCAATTCATTCCAAATCCTTCCAGTATTTTCTGTAGGTCATGGAGGTTCTGTGTGGGAAGTCTGACCCAGTTCTATCATTGTTGGGGTTCAGAATGCTCTTTGATTGTAAGTTAACTATAAATCCCAGCAAGTACAACTCCAAAATGTCAAGGTCTATTTTCCCCAAACTCCACCAGTGTTCACATTTGGCCATATTGAGTATTCGTACCAAGTTTGGTCCAGATCTATCATTGTTTGAGTCCACAGTACTCTCTGGAGGTAGGTGAACTACAACTCCCAAACTCAAGATCAATGCCCACCAAACCCTTCCAGTATTTTCTATTGGTCATGGGAGTTCTATGTGCCAAGTTTGGTCCAGATCCATCATTGTTTGAGTCCACAGTACTCTCTAGAGGTAGGTGAACTACAACTCCCAAACTCAAGATCAATGCCCACCAAGCCCTTCCAGTATTTTCTATTGGTCATGGAAGTTCTATGTGCCAAGTTTGGTTCAATTCTATTGTTGGTGGAGTTCAGAATGCTCTTTGATTGTAGGTGAACTGTACATTCTAGCAACTATAACTCCCAAATGACAAAATCAACCCCTATCCCACCAATATTCAAATTTAGGCATATTGGGTATTTATGCCAAATGTGGTTCAGTGAATGAAAATACATCCCACATATCAGATATTTACATGATGTAGTAAAACTATGAAGTCACAACAAAAATAATTTATGGTTGGGGGTCACCACAACATGAAGAACTGTATTAAGGGATCATGGCATTAAGAAAGTTGAGAAACACTGAGCTAAAGTCTTCCCCTTCTGTCTCTGAGGGTTGTTGTTTTGGAGCATTTCAAGCTGCAGTTTTTTTCAATGTAAGATACCTAATTATCTGGGGTGGGAGGAGGATAATGTGACCGACAACAGCAGATCCATGCTGTTTTTTTTTCCTTGTCAGCCAATCACACCGCTTTCTGCAAAGTTCGTCTCCTTTTATTTACAAAAACCTTTTAAAAATTCCTAAAAATCAGTGGCTGACTGAAACATTCTGTAACTTGGCAGGCTGAAAGTTGTAAATGTTGCCTACGAGTGTGTCAAGTTTCATCCCGATAGCCATAAAAATGACGGAGAAACGAGCCTCGAAATTGTCCCATGAATGGAACAAATCTGAACGAAACAATGGCAAAACTTTTGAGATTTGGATTACAAAACGAAACGGAAGACCCCTCTTTATGAAACGAAGCAGGGCATCTGAATCCCTGAAACAAATAACTCATTGTGTTTCAGCCACGTGGCACACCCCTATGGTTTATAGATCTGTTTACTGATTAGTCCACTAACCACATCAACAAGAAAAGACAAAAATGCATAAGACAAATAGACAGTAAGCCAGGCATGGGCAGACTTCAGTCCTCCAGTTGTTAGGAATTGTGGAAGTTGCAGTCCAAATCACCTGGAGGGTCCATGTTTGCCCATGCCTGCACTAACCACTATAATAATATGTGAATAATAATGTGATTTGTATATTTCAATAGTATTCTCTCCCCAGGAATCTTTACCTTCTATGGAATTCCTTGGGAGAATCCCTCTGGCAAAAGGTGACTCTTATAGAGAAAGTCATTCTGTTTGGGCCCCCAAAGCAAACAGCCTTTTCTTTGCCCTTCCAGACATCCTGGACTTTTTCCTTCCCCGGCTTTTAAAAAACCAGAAAAACAGGAAATATATCCAGACAGTGGGGAGCGGAGGAGGCCGGATCAATGCCGTTGCTGGTTGCTCGAGAGCTCTATCAATGATAAGGACCTTATCATGTTGGAATACAATCCATTGCCATTAGTATGCATCTTGTATTATTAATTTTTTTTACATACTGTATTCAGACTGGATGCATATACTCTCACTGTCACGGTGGATTGTTATGCCATGCCACGCTAAGACTTTTCTTCCTGGGTTATGAATGCTATTTCCTAATTAGGTCTATCATAAAAACATTAGGTCTATCATAAAAATATTAAATTTCAAAAACTTTGTTTCTGCAGAAGGGACACCATCCTGCCATGTACCACATTTGGCCTAATTCAGTGTTTCACAACTTGGGGATCGGTATCCCTGGGGTGGGGGGGGGGGTCACCAGGCGGTGTCAGAGGAGTCGCCAAAGATCATCAGAAAACACAGTATTTTTGGTTGGTCATGGGGGTTCTGTGTGGGAAGTTTGGCCCAATTCTCTCATTGGTGGAGTTCAGAATGCTCTTTGATTGTAGGTGAACTATAAATCCCAGCAACTACAACTCCCAAATGACAAGGTCTATTCTCCCCAAACTCCACCAGTGTTCACATTTGGGCATATTGAATATCCATGCCAAGTTTGGTCCAGATCCATCATTGTTCGAGTCCGCTGTGCGCTCTGAAGGTATGTGAACTACAACTCCCAGACTCAAGGTTAATGCCCACCAGACCCTCCCAGTATTTTCCGTTGGTCGTGGGAGTTCCGTGTGCCAAGTTTGGTTCAACTCCATCATTGATGGAGTTCAGAATGCTCTTTGATTGTAGGCAAACTATACATCCCAGCAACTACAACTCGCAAATATCAAGGTCTATTTCCCCAAACTCCACCAGTGTTCACATTTGGGCATATTGAGTATCTGTGCCAAGTTTGGTCCACATCCATCATTGTTCGGGTCCACAGTGCTCTCTAGATGTAGGTGAACTACAACTCCCAGACTCAAGGTTAATGCCCACCAAACCCTTCCAGTATTTTCTGTTGGTCGTGGGAGTTCCATGTGCCAAGTTTGATTCAATTCCATCATTGGTGGAGTTCGGAATGCTCTTTGATTGTAGGTAAACTATAAATCCCAGCAACTACAACTCCCAAATGACAAAATATATTTCCCCAAAATTCCACCAGTGTTCACATTTGGGCATATTGAGTATCTGTGCCAAGTTTAGTCCAAATCCACCCTTGTTTGAGTCCACAGTGCTCTCTGAAGGTAGGTGAACTACAATTCCCAAACTCAAGGTTAATGCCCACCAAACCCTTCCAGTATTTTCTGTTGGTTGTGGGAGTTCCGTGTGCCAAGTTTGGTTCAACTCCATTGTTGGTGGAGTTCAGAATGATCTTTGATTGTAGGTGAACTATTAATCCCAGCAACTACAACTCCCAAATGACAAAATCAATCCCCCCAATATTCACATTTGGGCATATCAGGTATACATTATGATTCATAACAGTAGCAAAATGACAGTTCTGAAGTAACAATGCAAATAATGTTATGGTTGGGGGTCACCACAACATGAGGAACTGTATCAAGGGGTTGCGGCATTCAAAAGGTTGAGAAACTCTAGTTTTTCAATGGACGTCTCATCATCGAGTTTCAACCAATTGAATCCCATTTGTAGCACAAAGAACAAAGCTTCTGGAGGAGAACAACGACTTTCAAAGTAATGACGGCACAACCATCCAAGAAATAACACTTTCAAACCAGGAACAGAACATTGTTTTTGCAACTTTTGTTACATAGTGTAATAATCCAACCTGGAAAAGCGAAAAACCAGCAAAACAGGGAATATTGTTCACACCATGTAACAAACTTTCGGGACGACAAAAAGTTCTGTTCCTGGTTTGAAAGTGTTATTTCTTGTTTCATTGTGTGGCCCTGACTTTGGAAGTCATTGTCCTCCTCCAGAAACTTTGTTTTTGTGGATGCCACAAAGAATGTCGGATGGGTTGACACACTTGAGCAAAATGTGCAAGAGAGAGCAGGATGTGCTGCAGAAACAAAGTTGGTGCAGATTCATCTACTTTCCCCACGTTTTCAGGATAGAGCCAATTAGGAGATGACGTTGGTCAGCCAGGAACAAATATCATTTTACATAGTGTAATATATTTACTTCTTGTGTCTGAAGCAAAATGAGGATACAGTTATAATGTAACACTAAGAAAGTTTTAAAACTTGGCATTATACTAGATTTCCTTTGACCACTTGGAATGCCTCTTGTGTTGCTGTGAGAAGCTCC